TTATATAACACAACGACCCAAACAAGGTCTGGTTGGCTTCAGGAAACCTATAGTCTTAGGAAATATACACCTTTCGATGCCTACCACTTGGCAACCCCCTACTCATTCATTTAATGTCATCTACAAGCTTGAAATGTGATACTAAACGAGACAGATGTGGGCTCTTACCACGTGGTGACTATTATTCAGAGGCCATTCTAAATCCATCTTAAACTCTTTGAGGGCAGGGCTGGAAGCCTGATACACAACTCAGCGAACATAAAGAAATGGCAAACATCTGCCAAGAACTAAAACCCAGAGAACAAGTCTTTTAGATCTGGACTGCAAACACCTGAAATGCACAAAAATCTTGCTAGACCCAAGAGTCCCGCAAAGGGTTCTGGACACCTGCCACTAGGGTCCCAGTCCAGCCTCTATCACTTCCGCTCTGGAAAACACTGAAGCGGCCACTCTACTTCTGCTGACCTAAGTCATCACATCTGCAAAACAATACAGAAATCCCTGATCCGGAGCCCAGGAAGAGGATCAATAACCTCGTTCTCTATTACACTCGGACCCAGCAGCCGCTCGGGGCAGGGCCCTGGGATCGTGAAGGCCGAGCTGCCCCATTTTTAGAGACTGAGCATGCGGCCGAAAGAAGGCGGTTTGTGGCAGAGCACGAACTGGAGTCGGAGAAAGGAATCGCTTGGAAGGGGTGGCCTGAGAGCTGGAGAGAACTCACGCTGCTGCTGCTCCAGCGCCAACTTGCACTTGTAGTAACTGTAGAACTCGCCTCCGAACAGAAACGAGAATTTCGGGTTGTCCTTCTGCTTTTCCATCGTCATCTTCTCAAACTCGGGCCCGTTGCGAGCCACGAACTGGGCCAGCTTGTCGATGACATTTCGAAGCTCCTGGTCTGGAGGACGGAGAAAAGGCCACGCGGGGCGTCAGGGAGGACCGCCCAAATCCGGGAGCCCTGGCGTCCCAGCCCCCGTCCGCCGGGCCGGGGTCCCTGGGGCTGGGCCCCGGAGAGGCCGCCCTTGTACGGGTCCCGATAGAGGCCACACGCGCGCCGGGGATGCGGGGACCCGCGGGAGAGGCCGCAGGCGAACCCGGGAGGCCGAGCCCCGCCCCCTCCTAGGCCCGGAAACCCCGGAAGGCGGGGCGGGCCAAGAAGGGATTCCGGGGAGAGAGAAACGGTCCCCGAGCCGAGGCTGGGCCTCACCGTCGGGCGGCAGGGGCATCTCCATGGCTCCGGCCGCAAGGAACGTCCTCCGGCGCCTCACGATCGCCCACCAGCCCCGTCTGCGGAAGCCGGCCGGAAGTGGCGCGAGGGAGCCGTTTACGGCTGGTCTCGCGGGCGGCTTCCGCCCTCCACTTACGGCCGTCGCCGGGAAACCGCGGAAGGGAGGGCAGAAGGCGGGCGGGAAGAAGCCGCGCGATACTGGTCGCTAGTGATGCGCACGCGCAGGGGCCTTCCCGCGCTTGGGCGGAGTGGGCCGCTGTCGCGCTCCCCCCCGGAACGTGGGGCAAGGCGCGGACTACCGTTAGCCGCCGCCGCGGCGTTCTCCCGAGCCGGCGTCGCAGCTGGAGGGCCTGGCAGGTTGCGTGCTCCGCTGGACAGCTGCCTGGGGAGTCCCTGCGCCGGTCAAAGCCTGTGTTTCCTTCTCGCGAGGCTGAGGTGAGAAGACTACGAGGTGAGGTGCGTCCGGGAGGCTCCCGGGCCGTGACGCCGGTCACATCTTCCCGGGCGTTAGAACCGGGAGGCGACGGGTTTGGCGGGGATGGAACTGGGCTTGTTGAACTTCACAAGATCCTTCCGCTCAGTTTCTTTCGCTCGACCCAACGCTTTGGTAAGGAAGACTTTGGGGCGGGGGGCCTACGCCACCCTCGCCGGCCACAGACTGCGTCCCCTTGGGGCTCGCGTGGTTTCCGTGCAGTCATTCAAGCGGCGTGGAATGAGCGCCCACGACCTGCGGGTGCCCGGCCTTCTAGACTGCGCGCCCAGTGGGCTCGGCGCCTTCCTGAAAGATGCACATTCCTTCTCAAATGATGACGAAGCGAACGCGTGCTGATGGTGGGGACTAAGATAAAAGCAGCAGCCGTAAACGTTAGAGAACGTAGATTGCACGTCCCGGCCATCCGACCTTCTTGAGATTTGCCATTAACGCTTGGTTGGCTCGACGTCCCTATTTTTCCTGTGCAAATAAGTGTCCATACGTTTTAGATACTTTTCTCTTTGGTTACAAATTTCGCCACCTGACGCTCATGGATTATCTCCTGTATGTCAGATACTGCTCTAGGCCAGGAATTGGCAAACTTTCTCTATAAAGGGCCAGATAGCAAATATTTTAGGCTCTGTGGGCCAAGAGGCAAAACGGAGCATATTATGTAGGTACTTGCGTAACCAAAGAGAAAATGTCCCTAACAGTTTTTTATTGGTGGTATTCAGAATGTAATGCTTAAGCAGTTTTCAAAATACAGGTCTGCTGAGAAAAACAGAATGCTTTTTTTGGCGGTTCTAAGTTGGTCTTCCCTGGCATGAGTTGATTGCAGATGTTCCCTAGTAGAGACTATTCTTGGTTCACGGAAAAGCAGGCTGAACGTGGCTTGTGATGTCCCAGTGGTGCCTGAACTCTGCTCTCCTGAGCAGGCAGCCCAGGAGGGGCAGAGACCTATAAATCAGTAGACAAATACGTCATTCCAACAGTGTTATTAAGGAAAACAGCTGGGTACCGAGACCTTGATGAGGGAGGGGGGTCTGGCCTGCCCCTGGGAAGTGAGGTTTGCACTGAGATCCTACTCTGCAGCAAGCTGTGTGACCACACCAGGCCAAAGGAGCACGGGTGTTGGTCTGTTCAGTATAAAGCCCAGTAATCCGGGGGCTGCAGGTGCCAGTAAAGGTCTACATCGGGGTTTTAATTTGTGATCCGCCACGGGTGGAATTCAGAGATAGCACGCTATTGTACCTATATGTGTTTTCATGAATTAAAGATACACGATGTTTTTTTAGAGTCTTAACAGGATCTGTGAGCCAAGACAGGTTAACGAATCTGTATGGTCATTTCTCGTGACTGCTCAGGACAGTGTGATGCGGATGTACAATAATTTATTCAAGCCAGACTCTATGGAGTCTCTGATTGATTCCACTTTTAGGCCACTGTTAAAATGATTTAGCGTAGGATGTGCACATTTAATACTGATAATGCTCAACTGTCCCCTCAAATGATTATGTAAACCTGTGACCACTTTTATACGGTCATTTTTTTTAAGTTTATTTATTTTGAGAGTGAGAACACAAGTGGGGGCAGGGCAGAGCCCAACTCGTTGCTCTATCTCACAACCTTAAGATCGTGACCTGAGCCAAAACCAAGAATTGGACGCTTGACTGACTGAGCCACCCAGACACCCTTAACTCATTCTTTTTGATGTCTGTATAGTACAGATATTTTTTAGCTTTAACAATTTTTTTCAAGCTGAAAAAATACATAGACAATAAAAGTTATTAAAAAAGTAGCGGGTGACTAAGGAAGTCTAATGCCCATCCAGACCTGTAGTCTCAATAAAGCCAAAGCTTGGTGTTACTGTCAACCTCGTTTCCTACAGTAACTGAACCCTGAACAGAGAAGGTCCTATCCAGTCTTTGAGGGAGCAGCATTCCTCAGGGCCTGATCTTGTCACCGAGCCAGCCTCTGGTCACAAAGGAGTTGCCCTGGGGAGATAGATAAATGGGAGTATTCCAGTCCCTGGAGTGTTCAGCCCCAGGTAGGAGTTGAGACTAGTGTCTGAACAACGGGGCCGCGTGCAGCATGAGCTGTTATTCTCCGTAGGACCAGGTCTTGAGTTGTGAGGCAGCAACTCCATCCTGGGGCAGAGCCTCTGGAGGCCCCGTTGCAGCTGCAGTGGTGGACTGCCAAGCCACCAGGTCGCCCAGACGGGAGGGCTCCGTCAAGGTCTTACTGTGGCAGCATGGCCCACACAACTGCAACGAAAGGACACACCCCTGAGGACATCACCTCCTCTCATGGCGAGTACATGACAAAGGTGAGGAAAAACAAAACAGCTCACTTTATCTTGGCCGCTCTGCCGGGCCAAGGGCCCTGGCTTGGAGTCAGACACTCCTGGATTCCCGGCTTGGTCCATGGGCTTTGTTTCCACTTCCCTGGAAAATGGTGCTAGTATCTCCCTCTTGGGTTCTGATGGTTAAATGAGATGTGTATAATATAAAATATGCAAATAAAATAACCTGAGAATTGTAGTAAGGCAAACATTTCCATTCCATTCCCCTCAAATAATTATCCTGTACTTCCTTACCGTTTTCCATATCTCCAACATAGCCCCTATATGCTACTTAACTTAGTTACACATCTACAAATTAAGCCAAGCGTGCTCTGAGGCCTAGGCATCTGTTTCCTGTACTTGACTCAAATGAAGTGTTCAGTAAATCAGTGAACAAAAGGATTATGAATTAAAAGGATGTGGGCAGTTGTTGTAGCAGAAACTCCTACTCTTCAACTGTGGCTGAAGGAAATTCTGTAGGTAATGGGTATCTGAGTTAATATGCGGGGGGGGGGGGGGAATAGGCTTTGGAGGCAGACTTCCTGTGTGATAACCCCCTCAACCCTCATTTTCATCTGTAAAATAAGGTTAATAAACCTTGTAAGGATTGTGTGGGGAAAATCCACCACTGTGTTAGGCGTGGAGCAGGTCTCACTATTAGCCATTACTCCTCAAAAATACGCTCCATGAGCACAGCTGCTACACGTTCTTGGGTTTTCCGTGTTATTTTGTTCAATAAAGGCATGTCATTAACTGCTGAGCTGTGTCTCTGGTTTTATTCTACCATGTCATAAATTCACACATCACATGTCCTCATCTTTGGCTCAGGAAAAAAAGTTGCAGTTTACTCGGATGTGAGAATCAGGTTGGCTCGTTCTTTCTATCTCTTACATGTTTTGTTGCCGGGCACACTGAAGACAGGGTCACTCAGACCCTCACTGACAAATTAGGACCAGTCATGATTCCCTGGAGACCATCGTTTATTTTTGGTAAATGCCATCAATGAATATACACACAGTATCAATCCCACAGAAGTCTATAGCATTTAATTCTTGAAAACAGGTGACCACTGAAAAAAAAAGAATTCACAATTTTCAGTTCCTTTAATAATTTAATGTTCTATCCCCTTAAGGCTGTTAGACCTTAAGTTACCCGGGTCTGGTTGTATCCCAGCAACAATAAAGGGCCTGTTGCATGATGTATACCAAATACACAGCAAAATTGAGAAATCCCAAGTGCTTCTTCACTTCAACATGTTTGGTTTCTCTCCTTTGTAATAGGGGTTTGATTTTCCCTATAACGAATGACTTAAAATAAGGTGCTTAGAAAGTCCACACCAAGTCTCAAAATAGTGAACAAACACTATTCGAAAATGCCCTCTGAGCCTCAGTTTCCCCTTCTGTAAAATGAAGGAGTTGGGTTCGAGTTAGTGTCGTAGGCAAGACCACACAATGGATGGGTAGATTAATTTCCTGCCACAAACCCCAGCAAGGAAGAGGGAGAGGGGAACAGAGCTGCAAATGGGAATGTGGGAGTGGGCAGGGGTGGTAGGCCAGGGCCAAAGTGGCTGGAAAACTGGCCTTCAGGAGGTCAGTGTCAGCTCTGAACCTTCAAGTCTCAAAAGTATGTCTTTGTCTTTTGATCGGATGATTTGGTCTAATATGATTGTCTCATTCATTCCAGTGTATGTACTTGCTGCAGATTTATGTACAGAATTAAATACCCCATTTATTAATTTATAAACCGTAATAAAACCAGTCCGTTCCCCTCGCCAGCAGATCTTGCATTGGAAAAGGGAAACAATATACAAATTTTAGCAACATCATAAATTTCATTAAACCTGAAAAGACACACAGTTCATTTTGGAGTTCAATTATCTGTTCAAGGACTCAGTCACTATAATCATAAAAACAACTACCACAGTATCTTTGTGGTGCAGAATTACCCCCATTTGTTGCTAGTCACCAGTGAGAAAAGTTCAGCTACAGACTGTAATGCCTCTGTGAAGACACTCAGCAAACTCTTCACAAATGCCCTTCAGATTTCTCCTTCCCGTGTTACACAGCAACCGTCTCAAAACTTGGGCCAACCAAAATAATTACAAAGAAAGTGAACGACACGTGAACACACAGGGACCTGAGGCTGGTGGTGCATAAACTCCGGCCACAAGGGGACCGGGTGACCTCCAGGAACAGCCAGCCCACTCATAAGCTGACAAAAATAACCAAACCAGGAGTCCATCATAAGCTATGGTACTCCCTCAGACGGGGAAATGTCTCACCAAGACATAAAGGGTGACCCACTGTCCCACCTGCAGCTTCCTCCGAGTGCCTATTCAAGAGGTTGGGCACAGCCCCGAAGGAAGGCAGACATCACCAGGGACCCCAGCAGCTGAGCCAGTGGTCCCCTCTGCGAGGACAGCATCCTCTTGTGACGCTAGGAAAGATGGAGACCCTGACCTGAACCTCGGCACATGGGCTACCTGCTGGGGCCACATCATTTTCCTGATACGTGATTTATCCAAACCCAAATCCTAGCTTGGTGCTTGCCGCTTCTCCCCTTCACCAGGACATGGTTCCGATCCTAATGCAGACACCCCACCAGATCAGGTCATGGAATTAAAGTGCTGTGGTCTCATCTATTACACAAACTGTTGAGATGACATTCTTGATTCATTCTGCTTTCGGCGGCTGGGGCCATTAGGAGCTTCAGAAACTTCAGCGCTTCCTACTAATGCTGAAATGTATCATGACACGCATCACCAGAAGGAGTTTTTCTTGTTTTTAAACATTTAAGAACAAAAGGGTTTTCAATCTATAAGCCAGTCCTCATGCGCCCCACCCCCCATAGGAGACAACGGCATAAACACACAAAACTGCAAAATATTCCCTAGAAAAATGCAAGATCCTCATCAAGTTAACATCTCCCCACCAAACATCCTACTAAGTCGTCACAGAAGCGAAGACTCATCAGAAAAGACAAAACGAGTATTACAAAAACAGAGCTTGAAACACTGAACGTGATTTCCTAATGCTCTGACAGCCCCTCAGCCACTCCCCCTTTGCTGTCCCCAGCAAGGAGAGATGCCCTGCTCTGGCTAGGAAAGAGAGGGCACAGGAGACAGCAGCTGCCCTTCCCTCTGGATCTGGACATATACTGACTCTGACTTGCAGGTCAAAGAATTAGGCTCCAAGAATTCAAGGCTAATTGCAGTAGCTTTTCTCTTTGGAAGATCTGCCAGTAACTGCAAACGGCCAAGGGGTTGGCCGGAAACTGGGTCCATCTTTGTTGCTGGACATGCTTTTAATTAGTACCCCCCTGCTCCATGCCTGCCTCGGCCCTTGGCCTATCTGAGCAGCAGAATTGAAGCAGCTAGTTTGTCATTCTCCAGCACGATCCTACTGTCCTTTCCTTGGCCCCCGGGAACCCCCTCTTGCCTGCTCAGGGAGGTCTGCATCCACAGTGATCCCGCCTCTCTGGAGAGTTACCTGGAAATACTATCTGGAAAGCAGAATGAGAACTCTCAAAATACATAACTTGGGGAAGAAGTCCACACAGAAAGGTAAAAACCTGGCCAAGGTCTCCACAGCAACACAGCCCTCGGATGACAGACTCCAGGAAGAAAGGGCCTGGAACACGGGAGCTTGAGGGCGGTGGCCCTTGCTGCAGGGCAGCGTCCTGCTGCCCCCAAGGGGCTGGAAAGCCCAGGGTCTTCTGATGGTTGTGCACCGTCCCCTCGGCTGGGTTGTACATTCACTGGTTGTCAGAAGTTTCTGGTACTGCTAGGGAGTGGGGGAAGGAGTCACACAGTTACCACCCTGCCCTCTACACTCTACACGTCATAACGGTTCAAACTGTATGAGTTTGGGTAGCTCTGCCGACTGTACTGGAAGTGATCTGTTAAGATGTTGTTGCGGCCATACTGATAGTCCCCGTGCTGGGGGAAGAGGATGCCATTGTGGGGTTTTTCCAGGGGGCTCCGGTGATGTTCCTTACTGCTCAGGTCCCCCGTTGTGACAGGGAGGAGGTGCTTCCGGGCTTGCTGATTGGCATCGTACTTGGTCTGCAAGATCAAGAGAGTCAGTGAGACAACTGGCTCCTTCCCCAGGACATGCACACAGGACAGAGGAGCAACGGGCATCCGAGCAGCCCTTCAAGGCGCCACCGAAGCACTGGCCCTAGCGGGGCTCAGGCATGGCCAGCCCTCCCTATGAGCCATCTGTGTCTTTACACTGGACCGAACACGGTCTTCTTGAGGAGACCGTGAGATCCCTGACAGAGTCTCCACAGACCCAAAAGCCACAGCTGGAGTATGGCACGGACCCAGAATAATCTACACAGGAAAAGGAAAGCCGGGCTAGGAAGGGCCACACCAACACCATAAACCAGTCAGCCACAAAGCTGGGAGCTGGAACCCCAGCCTCTTGGCTCAGGGTGAGGCCCTTTCTTCTCCCCTTCACCGACTCTTGGTGCCTCCTTGGGTATCGAGGGGACACCCCACCCCACCTCAGACTCACTTTGTTATACAGAAAGACCCCCAGGATGGCTGTCATCATGCCTAGGACGTTGGTGCTGGTGACTGGGTTTTGCAGCATGATCAAGGACACCGTGATGACCATGATTCTCTTGGTGGCATTGGCAACGGAGTAGCTCAGAGGGCTGATGAGGTTGAGGATGCTGAAGGCAATGACATTCTGGGCAAAGTTACAGAAGCCGCTGACAGCCAGGAGCAGGAGCGTCCAGGGCCACTGGGACACATAGGTCTACAGAGACGAGAAAACAAGAACAGCACTGGGGTCACATGCTGGCCCTGGCAGAAGTGGGGGAGAGGCACAAAGTGGCTTACTGGGGTCAGCGTCTAGGCGGGGAGCAGTTCCAGCTGTGTGTTGCCGTGTAATAACAAGTGCCTGATCTGCGCAACCTCTGACCCTCACGACACTGCACGCAAGCACAGCAATAATCCACTCCGTTGCTGCTGAGGACGGGGAGGCTCCAAGAGCCCCAAGGGTGGAGAGCACGAGGTGAACTGGAGCTTCCCTTGTCCCGGACAGCGAGGACTGGGAGCTGTGGGGTTAGCGGAGCAAGGTCTGCTTACTGGACACTGTCTCAGTCCAATTGAGCTGCTATAACAAAATGCCATGGGCGGGTGGGGGGTATAAACAATAGACATTTATTTCTCACCGTTCTGGAAGCCAGGAAGTTCAAGATCAAAGAGACTCAGTGTCTTGTATGAGCTTCCCAGTTCATAGGTGGGGTCTTCTCACGGTGCCCTCATGTGGTGGAAGGGGCGAGAACTCACTGGGTCTCATTTTATAAGGCCAACCAACCCTGTCTGACGAGGGCCTCACCTCCTCATACCATCATATGAGGGGCTGGGTTTCAACATAGAAATTTGAGTGGGGGGGACACATTCAGACTGTAGCAGACATGACACGTTCTGTAGGACAGGGAGGCCCTGGGAAGGCAGCCCCTGAGTACGCACAGAACCTAGTAATACAAGAGTCCCAGGCTAGAAGCAAGAAGCCCTGGGTCTGCCCTGTTACTGAGAACCACCCCCCCCTCCTCCCCGCCCTTCACCTCCAGCCACCTGACCTTTCAAGTCACACTTTCTTTCTCTGTGCGACAGAAGACACTGACCCTGCTGAGCCCACACAGTGCTGCTGTAGGGACAATCAAAAGGGTTCATGGCTGTGAAAGTGCTTTAAAACAGTCCCAAGCCAAACACGAGATGTTCTCAAAAACTTTAGTTATCATCTGAGCCTCTCTGGAATGAGGCACTCTGATCAAGGGGGCCCAGAAGTTAAGAACTCACAACAAGCAGACATCTGGACCACAGAACCCCCTTCCCCCACCCATCCCCCTGAGCCTGGGTTGATCCCAGAACAGGCAGCAGCTGAGAATTAGGTGGGGGGCTGCCCCCGCCAGCGGCTGGGAATGCCCAGTGCTGAACATTTACGGACATCTATTCAGAGCTGGATACCGGAAGGCATGTGGCACCACTCCTATGCCTCCCCACCTTCCACAGTCCTGCCTCAGTACCAGTCCTGAGGAACCAATGGGCACCAAGAGGCTGCTACAGGGCAGGGCGGCCAGGCCAGTGGAAGGGCCCCAGGAGACAGTACACCAGCCACGCACAGCTCCAGGCTGTCCACCTCTGCAGTGTCTGACCTCGTCTGGAGTGCTGGGACACTCCCCACGTCCCTGTGCTCCAAGGGCAGAGCACCCTCAAGACCTAGTGTGGCTCAGTGAAGGTAGCAAAGCCACAGCTGCGCGGTGGCACCTCCTCTCTGCATCCCAGTCCTCAAGCCACATTGGTACTGGACACAGCTGGGTCCCTCCAGGAAGGTGGCATTTAGTGGCCTGCCAGCATGGGAGCTGGAACGGTCTTAGAATGGCCACCTGATTCCATCTCCACCACCCTCAGAGAGAGAGAGGGATCACAAGGTCCTCTCAAAGGGCAGCAAGATACACTTAGGTGACCTCACGGTCACTCTGACTTTTGCCCCTCGTTGGAACAGCCCCTGTAAGGCACGTGAGCCCACCAGCATGCTTCTGTGGCAAGCTGACCTGTTCACTCCCGAGTCCTTTCCTGAGATGACCGACATGGTCTTACAAGCTGTTTTTATGAGCCAGCCAGCCTGCCTAGATCCCTATTTCTCAGAAAAGGAACCCAGTCAATCCAGCTTTTAAAAAAAACTGATACCAGTCAAGTGTTTCTTCCCCACACAATCAGGATTCAGAACCACTCCCTCACCTCGAAACACTCTCCCAGGCCTCTTGGTATGAATCCCCTTCCCCAATCCAGGTAAACTAACGGTGTGTTCTCCTTCCCTCTAGGTTTGTCCTTTTAGAGACGATCCTAGAACTGGAATGATACAGGATGGAACTTTCTCAGACAGGCTGCTTTCACTCAGCAATAATGCCTGTGACATCCACCCAAGCTGTCATAAGGAACAACAGCTGATGACCTTTTTCATTGCCAAGCAACTCTCCATTGTATGAATGTACCAAAGTGGGTTTGTTTCGTTTTTTATTCACTCGCTTGTTGAAGGACATCTGGGTTGTGTCCAGTTTTTGGTGGTCATGACGTCATGAGTGGAGTTGCTATAAACATTTGTGTGAACTTGAGTTTCATTTCTCTAAAGTTAACACCCACATGTGAGATTGCTGGGTCATATGATTAGCGTATGTTTAACTTCAGAAGAAACTCCCAAATGTTTTCTAGAATGGTTGTACCATTCTGTATTTACTCCAACAACATATAAGAATTCTAGCTTTGCCTTATCCTTGACAAACATGGTATTGTATTTTTTTATTATTATAGCCATTCTATTAGGTATGAGGTGGATCTTATTCTGGTTCTGTTTCTCTCTAGTGCCTAATGATGTTGAACATATTTTACTTGCCTATTTACATGCCATCTAGACAGTCCCAGTGGGAAAAAGTCTGTTCAAGTCCTTTGCCCATTTTTAAGCAAGTTATGATCTTGCTATCGAGTTCTGAGAGTTCTTTATATATTCAAAACACAAGTTCTCTGTTACTACATCATTTGCAAATATTTCCTCCCAGTTGGGAGTCTGTCTTTTCTTTCACTTAGTAGTGTCTTCACAGAGCAAAAGTTTTAAATTTTAATGAGACTCCATTTACCAATTTTTTCTTTATGGACTTTGCTTTTGGTGGAGTGTCTTAAGAACCAATCCCAAGTCATGATGAAGATTTTTCTCCTGTGTGTGTGTGTGTGTGTGTGTGTGTTTTGCCCCTAAAGGTTATCATTACATTTAAGTCTAGAATACATTATGAGTTAAGTTTTCTGTAATGTGTGAGGTCTAAGTCAAGGCTCAGATTTTTGCTTATCGGTGTCCAGTTGTTCCAACACCATTTGTTAAACTACCCTTTGCCCTGTGATTGCTTTTGAATCTTTGTCAGAAATCAATTACCCAAATTTGTGTGCATTTAGTTGCACACGATTCTGCTCCACTGATTTATGTGTCTCCCCCTTAACCAGTATCTGTACCTTAATACTTAAAGTCTTTAAATAATGTGATTCCTCCAAGTTTATTCTTTCTCAGACTTATTTTGACTATTCCAGTTTGTCTGCCTATCTATGTAAATATTCCAATCAGCTTTAAGGTTAAAAAAAACTCAATACCTATCTATCTATCCACACACGCGTGCGCGCGCGCGCACACACACACACACACACACACACACACACACAGATATACAGGCATATATCTTCGCAATATTGCAGGTTCAGTTACAGACCACTGCAATAAAGGAAATATTGCGATAAAGCAGGTCAAGTGATTTTTTTTGTTGTTTCTCAGTGCATATAGGAGTTATATTTATACTGTAGACTGTTAAATGTGCAATAGCATTATGTCTTAAAAAAGGGGTACGCCTTAATTAAATGTACAGAACTTTATTACTCCCAAATGCCAACCATCACCTGAGCTTTCAGTCAGTCATAATTACTCATCATAGATCACCATAACAAATGCGGTAACAATTAAGAAGTTTTTAAGATTGCAAAGATTACTAAAACATGACACAAAGACACAGTGAGCAAATGCTGTTGGGAAAACGGCACCAATAGATTTCCTTGATGTGAGGTTGCCACAAACCTTCAATTTGTAAAAAAATGGAGTATCTGCGAAGTGTGATAAAGCTAAGTGCGATAAAACAAGGTATGCCTGTGTAGATTAATGAATCTCAACTTTTCTTCATTACCACCTTTTCCAAGGAGAAAAATTGAAGTTAAAATTCAAGCAATTATTTATAATTAATACTAAAGAACAAGGTTTTGCTGGTTAGAGAGAATTTTATTTCTTCCTTTCAAATCTATTTATTTCTTTTTCTTGTCTTATTGCACCGGCCAGGATGTCAAGTATGATGTGGAATAAACATGTTGAGCATGAACATCCTGAAATTATTCTTGAATTTAGCAGGAAAAACCTCCAATCTTTCATCATGGTGTTAGTATTCTGCAGTGGCTGAGAATGCAGTTTTCAGTGATGCAACTACTAGCTCATGTACTCTTTCTTGCTGTTTCTTTCTTTCCTCTGTTCTCTTCCATCTTTTTTTTATCATGTTCTCATACTTAAGACTTCTTTTCTGTGCCAAAATCAGTAACGTTATACTGGGGAAGGGACGCCGTCCTTTCAAATGGGCCATCTAAGGCAGCTAATTATGCATCACATTGAGGTCTCTACTGAGAAAAATTCTGTGACTTGAACTAAATATTTTTAAATGTGGATTTTTTGGGAAAACTAATATTAAACATTGTTTTTCCTGCATGGCAAAACTGCCTATTCTGCTACTTAAAAACCCTCAATGACTTTATTTTCAACTGGCTGCTTTTTTCATGTACAGCCAAAATGAAAACGTCTAAATTAACTATGTTGTACAAATGGTACCCAACACAAACTTTTTAAAAATTAGTAAGACTTTTGTTTTATGTTTGCATTTCGACTATTTTCATAAGGATGTAGGTTGTGTGTTTAACCGTTAATGTTAATAACTGTGATGTGTGTGCAGAATATTCTATATGCATGTTCATGTTTAAAGAACGGCTGTTGACAATAAAAATCAGCTTTCATGTAAAAAAAAAAATCAGGTTGAGGAAGTTTCCTTCTATTTCTAGTTTGTTGACTTTGTATTTTATTTATTTTATTTTGAGAGAGAGCATACATGTGCATGCATGAGTGGGGGAGGGGCAGAGGAGGAAGAAGAAAATCTTAAGTGGGATCTGCGACTCCGGGCT